TCCAGTTAATGTTGTTAAAAGGTGAAGGTCAGTCAAAAGAGAAACTTTCAGATTATTGCTGTGTGATGCAATTAAGTAGTTTTGTTTCATTGTATTACGAACATCAATGTTTAGACCTCGCAATTGGTCAAGAATGTTCAAATTGCTTAGCTAGAAGTGAAGTCTGTAGATGGAAGTTTCTTAATCAACTATTGCATGCTGTTGAATTGGCTTCTGCCGACATTTCCTCTTCTTATTCATTCCTGTTGTGTCCTTGCATAATATTGTCTATTCCAGCAGGGTTCTGGCTCTACGTGCTTCCAGTAAGTTTTGTCGACTGAAGGCCCAATGCTTTTTAGGATCCAGTTTTTGCTGCCAACAAAGGAAACATCATGGGGAGTGCCATGGGATCTGTGATTGGGTTAGATATTGTGGTGTGATCGTTGAATTGGTGTCAAAACACTGGAGGATGTGGCTGAGGAAGAAGAATATGCCAGCCCCCGATTCTTCGCGAGACCTTGTAATTGAGGAGGTGAAGGAGCTGCACTTGTTTGGTTTTTTTTTTTTCCCAATCATTTTATGGTAGAAAACCTGCACCGTTCTATCGCTCTCACCCAACCCATGCATTTATGTACGGAACGATTGCTTCTGATTTCAAAATGGATACTTGGTCTGGGTTAATACTGGGTGTTGACCGCGGTGGAGTGCCTGACGGCGTTAACTGTGTCGAGGGGACTCCATAGAGCCCGTCGTCGTGGGGAGGCAACTAAGGAAGATTCCCAATCAATTAACCTTGGAAACAAATTAAGGCCAAAGATCATAGCAACTCATGTGAGATCTAGTTTTTTTTTTTGGTTCAGGCATATCTAGACTAGTTTTTGCGTATCTTGATTAAATTCTTCTTCGATCTAATCGAAGATAGGTCATCCACGCTGAAAAAAATTATCAAGTTTCAAATTCAGGACGTCTACAATTATAATTTATCTCTGTTATCACTTAGACTTATAGTCGATAAACAAGAATATATTACGGAGTCCTGATAATGATGTTGTAAATTCTTCTGGGTAACATAGTGCTCAGAAAAAGTGAAATTGAAATTTCGGATGACTCTTATGGATTCAAAGCAGTCCATATGTTGCTTCTAAAACGAATGAAGATGTTGGGATCAAGGGAGTTTCCTAGGTATAATTCGGACAATTGATGAAGCAGATTTGTTCCAACAAATATCGGACGAGATAATTATAAAGCGGGTACAATCATTTTATACACACATGAAGTTGTTTAAGGGTCCATTTGTTTAATGGGATTTATGGTAGAAAATGCAAGAAATTTTTTTTTTTTAATTTTTCATGTGTTTGGTTAGCATGAAATGAAAAGTGATAAAAAAATTTTTTTTTCATGCTTAGATTTTCTCACAACTAACCAACTTTTTTTTCTTGCAAAAAACATAAGGAAATACAAGAAAGTTGTGATGTATAACTAACTTATTATTTTACCCTTATTTTTCTTAAAATATTTTAGTAGTTATTAATTTTAAAAAATCTTGGTATGAATTTAGTTAATAATATAATTTGACTCAGATACTTTCGTGTTGATGGTTGTCCGAATTAGGTTGGAGTAACTTTTTTTTAAAAAATCAACTTTTAATTATAATAAATATTTTTATCTTCTTTAAATTAATTTAATATAATTAAGGGTAATTTAGATAATTTAAAAAAAAATTGTAACTTTCTTTTCTTTGAAACAATAAAATAATTTTTTTTTGAAATTTTCTTGCAAGTTTTTCATGTTAACCAAATACATACATGAAAATATATTTTTTTTCATTTTCTTTTCTTTCACTTCACTTTCTATCATTTTCACCTTCCATCGATATTTTCATTCTAATCAAACGGATCCTAAAAGAATAATAACCGAAGTACAAATATTTCTCATTTATTTATTTTTTTAAGTTTTTCTCATTTATTTATTATTTTTAATTATTTCTCAATTGGTGGGGGGGGTTTATTTTTATTTTTTGGAATGAGAATTTAATTACAAAAATTCTGTTTTAGTATTGAATGATTTGTTTTTCTGTATCATATTAAACTTCAATGTTTTTCTACTTTTTAAGTTCTTCAAAGTTACATTGGATAGCTTTCCAACAAAGTCTTGTTCATTCTTATCAGATTAGTTAGGGTGTGTCCCATCATTCAGCTCGGCACATCTCCAACTTCCACACATTTGTGACCTGGGTTTTGGATTGTGTCTTTAGAAATGATCGCATGCTTCCACGGTTCCACCATGCATTTTTTTTTTTCCCGTGTGTTAACTATTCTTTGGAGGTCAAATATAGGTTATTGTAATTCAATTGGATTTAAAACATTATTTTTTGAAAAATAAAGACGATTGGTCCTTATACTCAATTTAATAGGAAAGATAAAAAATAGAAAAGATAAAAAATAGAAAGGATACACTTTTTATCCTTCAATGAGGAAAAATAAGAATTATACATTTTTCTTCTTTTGTGTTTAGTAAGATGGATGAAAATAAAAATGATTAATTTTTTTTATACTTGGTAAGATAAAAAAATTATTTTTATTTTTAAAAAAAAATATAAATTCATATTTTATCATTGTATTTATATATGAAATTAATTTGTACATAATATATATATATATATATAAAATGAAATATAAACAAATAAGATATATTTCAATACAAATAATTAAATTTGCATCCATTTTTCTTTCGATTTTAGAGGGATTCATTTTGGTGAGTTGAATGAATAGCTCATCCATCCACTTTTTCATCTTTTTTTATTTTCATTCTTTATCAAGTATGATGTTTTACCCATCTCTTCAACTTTCTATCTTTTTATTTTTTTTCATCTTACCAAACGGAACATTAGAGTATATAAAAAATATNAGGATCGCATGCTTCCACGGTTCCACCATGCATTTTTTTTTCCCGTGTGTTAACTATTCTTTGGAGTTCAAATATAGGTTATTGTAATTCAATTGGATTTAAAACATTTTTTTTTGAAAAATAAAGACGATTGGTCCTTATACTCAATTTAATAGGAAAGATAAAAAATAGAAAAGATAAAAAATAGAAAGGATACACTTTTTATCTTTCAATGAGGAAAAGTAAGAATTATACATTTTTCTTCTTTTGTGTTTAGTAAGATGGATGAAAATAAAAATGATTAATTTTTTTTATACTTGGTAAGATAAAAAAATTATTTTTATTTTTAAAAAAAAATATAAATTCATATTTTATCATTGTATTTATATATGAAATTAATTTGTACATAATATATATATATATATATAAAATGAAATATAAACAAATAAGATATATTTCAATACAAATAATTAAATTTGCATCCATTTTTCTTTCGATTTTAGAGGGATTCATTTTGGTGAGTTGAATGAATAGCTCATCCATCCACTTTTTCATCTTTTTTTATTTTAATTATTTATCAAGTATGATGTTTTATCCATCTCTTCAACTTTCTATCTTTTTATTTTTTTTCATCTTACCAAACGGAACATTAGAGTATATAAAAAATATTAAATTTGAGACTTTTGAGTTACCTCAAACTCAATCAATGAACCATCCTACAAGTTCCAACATTCAAATTTGTTTCTCGTATTGTCTATTAAAAACAATCGGCCAAAAAGAACTTTATAGTATATTAGTAAAAGTACTGTATTGAAGAAGATATCCTACTTAAAGCAACACCTATACAACTATTTTATTGGTGAAGTTAGAATAAAAGTGAGGATCAATAAAAAAAATATTAGGGTTGATCTTAAAAATGTTTAAGATAGATCATAAATATTAGAATCGATTTTAAATCTAAATCTATATCTATACTATTAATAAAACAAATATGAAAAAATTTTGATTCAGTATTTTACATTTATAAAAAATTGTAAAGATCATTCTATAATTCAAAATCTATATTTACACAAAATCTTAATATATCTTAAAAAATTTACTGTAACCAAAGAAATATGCTGATGTAACATAAATTGGTCTTAAAAATTATATTTAAATTAAGTATCACTTTCAATAAAAAAAATTGATTGACTATATTACCCTTAAAAAAAAATGTGTATCATTACATTTTTTAATAAAGTGTTCAAAAACCCTTTAAAAATTCTATCAATTTAACATTATTCATTGTATATGCAAAGATAATATTGTGCCTACACACACACAAAATTTTCACCGAAAAATTTTAACCCTTTTATTTTTAGGGTCGAATACACTTGACTAATTTCTAATTACAATAAAATTCCAAATATAAATAGTATATTGACAATTATTTTTATTTTATTCAATGAATTATTAGAAGAATCCTAATTAAATGAATATAAAAAAAAATTAATTTTCAAATATCACTAAAAATCACTTTCAATCGCAAAATTCTAANGACAATTATTTTTATTTTATTCAATGAATTATTAGAAGAATCCTAATTAAATGAAAATAAAAAAAATTAATTTTCAAATATCACTAAAAATCACTTTCAATCGCAAAATTCTAAAAAAAAAAAAATAGAACTCTAACTATTTTTTAATCTTTTTTCTTATAATTAGAACAAAAAAATTTGGGAAATACAAAAATTTTATAATTATATAATAAAATATGAGCAATGAAAAAATAAGATTAATAAATTTAATATAATATTTAATTAAAATATACATATACCTAAATTTTTTATTATACAAAAATTATCTACGTGCAATGTACGTGATGCATTACTACTAATTTAATATAACCTCAATAAATTGAATTAAAACATCATCATTATTTAGTAATAATTTCGTTACGATCCCCCCAAAAAAAAAAATGNAGGTGCAATGTATGTGATGCATTACTACTAATTTAATATAACCTCAATAAATTGAATTAAAACATCATCATTATTTAGTAATAATTTCGTTACGATCCCCCCAAAAAAAAAAATGTATTTTGGTTCTTATTATTTCAATTATCACTGAAGTGGCCCACTACTAGTCTCAGCACAATCACCATCTTCAGAAGCAGCCATGTCTGCCAGCACTACTCCGGCGCTGAAGACTCCGCCGGTCACGGAGAAGGTGAAGCATGAGATGGAGATGTTCGGAGACGTTAGGATCGACAATTACTACTGGCTTCGCGACGACTCTCGCTCGAATCCCAAGATCCTCTCTCTTCTCCATAAAGAGAACGCGTACACCGATTTCGTCAGGTCCGGTATGTATTCTTATTAGGCCTTTCCTGTAGGAGAAGGCTTTCATAATATCGAATTCAGCTATGAGTTGCTTTTACTTTGTTTTTTTCTCAACAAAAATTGGAGAAAAAACATCAAGTTTCTGACAAATGCAAGCGATTTTGATTGGTCTGGTATGCAGTCATATGCCTTTTCTGCAGCGAAATGTTTTATAATATGTAATTCGGCCATTATTTTGCTTTCCTTTTAGTTTTTCCTCAACAAAAATTGAAGAAAAAGCATCAAAGATTTTCATCGCCATGCCAGATGCAAGGGCTTTTGGTTGTTTATGAACAGTATTTGATAAATGCGATTAGGTAAAGCTAAGGATATTGCTGATTGGTTGTGTTAAATCACTCTGACGTCTAAGTCATGCTTTGCGCTTTTGATGTAGTGGGTGGGATGCCTTTGTAATATTTGATCGCTTTTTCAGGGACCAAACACTTAGAAGAAGAGATTTATGCTGAGATAAGAGGGCGAATCAAGGAGGATGACATATCTGCACCTATACGAAGGGGGTCTTACTACTACTATTCAAGGACCTTGGAGGGTAAGGAATATGTTCAGCATTGTCGACGCCCCGTGGCCGATGATGGGGCTCCTCCCTCTGTCCATGATAATATGCAGATTGGCCCTGATGCTCCCCCGGAGCATGTAATTTTGGACGAGAATGTTAAGGCTCAAAAGCATGCTTATTACAACATTAGTGCTTTTAAAGTAAGAGCATCTTTTCTTTTGCTTATTTTTATTTGAAGTTTTGGCCTTTTCACTCTCCCAATGCCACTCATATTTCTTGTCGCCAGGTTAATCCTAACAATAAGTTAGTAGCATATTCAGAAGACATTAAAGGAGATGAGATCTACACTATATATGTCATTGATGTTGAAACTCAAACACCAGTTGGGAAACCTTTAGTTGGTGTAACATCACATCTTGAATGGGCGGGTGAAGAGGCATTGACTTACATCACAATGGATGAAATACTTCGTCCAGACAAGGTATGATAAATTCTGAGGTTGAACACGTATGCAATCCATTGCCATTAGGTATTATTTGAGATGCGAACGTGGATTGCACATGTGTGACCAAGTTTGTATCTATTTTGTTATTGTTACTGACATATTTGAGTTTGCCGTGATGACTATCTAACGTGAAACGTCCAACAAAACTCCCCCTCTCCCTTCTCTTCTTTGCGTTAATTAGAAGGGATTAAATTTTCTATTCGGTTCAATTTTGTTTTGGAGTGCTTGAATTCCAGACATTTCTTATGCATAGATCTTCATTTTATGATGGTCCTTGTNGCTAATTAGAAGGGATTAAATTTTCTATTCGGTTCAATTTTGTTTTGGATTGCTTGAATTCCAGACATTTCTTATGCATAGATCTTCATTTTATGATGGTCCTTGTCATATATTGGAATTATGTGATATCCAGGAAATTTGGTGTTACCTTTTCTGTCATCTTCTTTTGCAAATTGCAGAGATAAAAGCTTTCTAATTAAAATCATCATGCATTTGACAAGGCTGGATGATCAGTTGATTGGCTGGCTTTGAAGATGTTATTCTGTTTACCTATAATATGTTCGAACTTTAATATGTAATTTTTGTTTTCTAATAGTAGTTTTAAGTGTAACCCCAGCTTTATTTGTTGGCTTGAGCAAGGGATGACTTATTTGAAATTCATATTGGCAATGAATAAAATGAAAATTTCGTAAAAGAAATCTTTCTTTGAGATTTTGCATATTCTTTAGTTAATTACCTTGTCAAGTCCCTATTCTTGAGAATTGATATTTGTGATAATTGTGATTGATATTTACATATAGATATTGCCTCTTATTTTTCTCTTTCAAATATCAGATGGTATGTGGTCATCAGTTGGACATTTGATTGATTAACTCATTTTTTTAAGTATATCAATACGAATTAAGGGGTGTTACTACATGTGTTGTGGTTACATTGACAATTGTATCTCAAAAACATTGACAATTTGATTTACCATCTTGAGTGTAGTAGTATTTTGTTTCCTTTTATGCTAGTAAAATGATAGTTGTATTTTGTGATTTTTTTGTGACACAGTTGTAAATGATGTTATCAAGAGGAATAAAAACATAAATGCATTTTATTAGTGTCGGTATCTATCATATTTAAATTCATGTTTGTAAAGGTTGGTTCGAGCCTGGATTCAAAAAGCATGTTGGATTACACAAAGAACTTGTAATAATACTTTAAGTTGTAAAAGTTGAATTTTGTAGAGTTTTGAGGATTTGGGGAAGTCATGTACTTACTAGGTTTCTCTTCTTGCTTGGGGGGTCCGTGTAATTCAATATGAGATGTGAGTTCTTTTTACATCATCCCTCACGTGGGACCTATGCTTGCATGTGAGGCTAACAAACAAACTTGCATATATGGAAATTTAAATGAGTGAGATATTTGACCCACTGATCATCCAGAGCCTAGTTTTGATACCATGTTAGAACATCTAACTTAAAACTAATTGACAATGAGTGGAGAGGTCCTTTAAGCATATAAACCAAACTCGGGTGATCCTAATTATTAGACGTGAGATACAAGCTCTTTTTACCGATGACAGTTCCTTTTGACATAAAGAATAGCACATTGCAGTTTTGGTGTATATTTTGTACAACATTATGTTCTTTGGAGTTGGGTGTACTTTCTTTTTGGACTTAGTCAGTTCCATTTGACATTGTGATACAACCACAAATTCTTTGGGGTAGGCATGTGCTCAGCATGAGGGGCGGATAGAAAGTTTATATAGGGTATGCTGCTCATGTAAACATATGGAAGAAAAATAGGTTGAAGAGGCTTTTGTAGAACTTTGTGATTTGGGGAGTTGATGGCACATCTAACTACCGTAGTAAAAAGAAGAGACATATTTTGAGTATCAAGGATGAAATGTGCATTTGACCGCAACTTTGATTGCTAATTTATTTGAATTTGAATTGCTATAATAGGTGAAAAATATTGAAGAAAAAGATTATTAAAGAAGTAATTGCATCAGACTGTTTTGGTATCTTCCTTGCATTGCATGTTTGTTTTGTTTTTTTTTTTTGTGTGTGTGTGTGTATTTTTTACATTTAATTTTCTATTTACTGGGGCTCAATAGTAGAATGTTTTCAAATATGTAATATCGTGTTTGGAACCCTTGATCTCTATTAATGCATATCTCTTCGGGCTATTCCAATATCGCTTGAACAGTAGATCATTTATTTTTTGTCTTCCTTCTGGAATGCAATATAAGCTCTAAGCGAAGGAAATAGGAAGAGGAGGAAAATGGTTGATCTTTGTAGAATGATAAGGACTATTTCTTTTTAAACCTTTCCATAGGGAGTAAATTACTCAAAGGTGTCCATGCCTGGATTTGTTATTTTCTTCAAAGGAGAATGGAATTCTAGAAGAGAATAGAAAGTAAGGCATGAAATGTAGGCATAAAGCAAGCACATATGTCTAGTTCCTGTTATTAATTGCATAAAAGAAGTTTCTGGCAAGCCCAATCTAAACCGAGGTTGAGTTACCAGATATGAAATATTCCCCAATTGCCATAGTGAAGGTTTCTCAAAAGTTTTGCAGCTTCTATGGGTGTTTTGGCAGTTCACCACTGCTTTGATCACAATTGATTAAAACAGATAAGTCAATTTTTGACATAAAATATGTATAGTTGAAGCTTCTGGATTCCCTAAGCATCTTCTAGAATTCCAGATGCCTTATTAAAACATAAAAAACTGCCTATGTTATTGCTTTATAGCCCCTCTCTGACCATTAGGTTTACAAAATATGAAAGCTCTCATTACCAGATACCCAAATTGTATTTCATTTCCAACATAGCAACCTGAAGCCATGCAGACCAGTATACCCTTATGTATGATATATTTCATACAGTACCAGAACATTGCCCATGTTAGATTGCGATCTGTTTGTACTATGGCAACTCATTCTTCCTTTTACTGTAAAAAGTCTAGTTAGTTTTCATTAATACCAAAAAGGCTGTAACTAAATTATAGTCCTTGATGACATTAGCATCACAAGAAGAATATATACCCCTCCTGGGGTTTTCTGTTGAGCTTGGAAGAAATAAGGGTCCATGGTACATTTCCTTTTTATTTTTTTTCAATCTCTGCTTATGTTCATTCTCTTCTTTTTATTGTTAACAATTTTGTCCCATAATTGTCATCTTTCTGCCCGCCCTCAGTTTCTCGTATTTTTCTAAATAAGATAAAAGAAATTGTTATTTATTGATAACCCTCATGTTCATTCCACGGAGAGAGCTTATTTAGTTTCTTCTCGAGCTTGTTGCCTATAGTTTGATTGTGGTGATGCAACTAAGAAACATAGTTTTTTTACTTACCTTATCTGCAAAAAAATAAAATTATCCTGGCTCCTTATTACCTTTTGATTTGGTTGGCTGGCTTTCTATGCAAGTAAGTGTGTTACTTCCAACAGGTGTGGTTACATGTACTGGGAACAGACCAATCAGACGATTCCTGCCTTTACCATGAAAAGGATAACATGTTCTCTCTGGATCTTGAGGCTTCTGAGAGCAAAAAATTTTTGTTTGTTGCTTCGGAAAGTAAAATTACAAGGTTCGTCTTCTATCTGGACACCTCAAAGCCAGAAAATGGGCTTATGCTTTTGACACCTCGTTTGGATGGCATTGACACATCAGTCAGCCATCGTGGAAGCCATTTTTTCATTAGGAGAAGAAGTGAAGAAATTTTCAATTCTGAACTACTAGTCTGTCCACTCGACAATATATCTGCCACCACAGTTCTTCTTCCTCACCGTGTAAGGTATTCCTAAATTCTCTACTTTCTTACTAGTGGTGTCACTAGTTTAATACTTGTTAAGCGCTTTGAAATAGCGGTCTTTTCCTCCTGTTAGAATAAGGGGGTTTTAGTTCAATAGACACAGATGCACAGCGGAAGTAACATTTTAGCGCTGAAAAAGAACAAATAATAGGAAGTCTTAGGCCATGTTTGGTTAGCTTTCCGGAAACTGTTTTTTGTTCTCAAAATTTTAAAAACACCCAAAATTTATTTGCTTAACATTTTTGTTCTCAAAATTTTGAGAAAAAATGAGATTTGAGTTCAAGAAACCGAAAACAAATTTAACTTGTTTTCAGAGTATTCTTTGAAAATTTTGAAAACAAGGAGAACAATTTTGGACTTTAATGAGACCTGCCCTTCGAGTCTCCTTAGCAGCAAATTTCTTCATTCTTTTTTTTTTACTTGTTCCTCTCTCTCATAATATATAATATAATATAAATATATAATATATTATAATATATACTTATATATATTATATTATATTATAATATATAATATATAATATAATAGATTATAATAAAATATAATATATATTAATATATTATAATATAACATATAACATATAATATAATAGATTATAATATATGAATATTATATTATATTATAATATGTATATATGAATATAATATTATATTATAATATATGTATATATATATAATAAAAATAAATTGTCAATATAAAAATAAATTTTTTATATTTTTTTATTAATGTTTGAATTACTGTTCGAATATATATTTAGGCTGTCCAAACAGATTTTACTATTTTCTGCATTGTAAAATTGTTTTTGAAATCATCTAACCAAATAAGTTTTTTATCTCAAAAAATATCAAAACTATTTTCTTAAAACTCTTATCAAAAACTGTTTTCAAATACTAGTTTTTGAAACGCAAACCAAATAGGCTCTTAATTTTTGAAAAAGGTGATTATATTTATGTATGTTTTCCATTTGACATAGAAACTGCCTCTGGTGTTACTTACAAGGAATCTTGTGATTGGAACTCTTGCTCCAAAAGGTGTCTGAATCTGCAATTAAGGTCTGAGCCCTTTGCTTTCAAGATTTCAATAGTTATGTTAAGGTATCATTAAATTTCCTAATTAATTTGAACTTTTACAATCCATTTCCTGACTTCCTTTAGGTTCGAACCATTTAACAATTCTGGATTTTTAAAAATTGATGGACCTGTTTGTGTTTTCCAGAGTGCAGTGGTGATATAAAAGCTAATTTAATTTCTTGATTATTTTTAACTTCTGCAGACTGCAGCTCATTGATGTACTTCCTGTAGCTTCCTATGCCAATTAATTTAATGATTCTGGATTTGTGGAAATTGATGAACTTTTTGTCTTGTGTATACAAAGGATTCTGCTGTACAATTTGTAAGGGTTATGATGCAATTAATAAGATAACTGATGCAATTAATAAGATACAGTTGGTTGACCCCTGGAGTGTTATTCGATCAAAATTTGATTAAAACCTTGTTCTTGCTTATAATGTGTTGATCATCCCTTTTCCCTTTCTCTCTCCTCTTTGTGCTTGTTCTTGAGACCAGCTCACCTCCCCCCTGCCCCTCTCTTTGTTCTAGGTTGTAGTGCTGTAAGGTATGATCGTCAGCCATATCTGCTGAAACATGTTTGTTTGACATTCAAATGGACTGCTAAGTTCAATGAACCAAATATGTGGTACCATTTTGTTGCTATTAAGTTCAATGCCCCAAATACTAAAAGTTTGGCCATGGTCTTCCGTCTTACCGTACACTATTAGCTTATTGATAAAATATAATGAGTGCATTTGCGTTTTTAAATTACAGGGTACCAGATTTTGTTGGAAAACATTTCAGTGACAGGACCTCAATTGGTTTTTGTTTTTGTCCAGTGTGAAGATCCGGGATATACAACTTTTTAGTGATCATCTTGTTGTATATGAGCGGGAAAATGGTCTTCTCAGGGTAATTATATATTGCCTGCCAGCAGTTGGAGAACCCCTTGAAAGGCTTCAAGATGGTCGGGCTGTTGATTTTGTTGATCCAATATATTCAGTGGATCCATCAGAATCACAATTTTCTTCCAGCATTTTACGGTTTTCTTATAGCTCAATGAAGACGCCCACCTCTGTATATGATTATGATATGAACACGGGGATATCGATTCTGAAGAAGATTGAATTGGTAAGCGAGGTTTCTATCATGAGTTCCATTTCACACTGCATGTGATTATACATGTTGATGATTTAACTCATACAGTGTTTCGCTTCGTAATGAGCTTCCTTTTCTACTCTTTGTTGGTGGATTCTTTTCTTACTTATTTGTTTATTCATTCATTAATATGCCTATTGCTAGTATTTTTAAAGTTGTTATTGTTAATGCATACATTTGTTGTCTTATCTTCATTTCCAGAAAGAATATCTTTCTTATAACAAAATATTCTGTTAAGTTCTTGCCTTGGAAGGAATGAAATAAGTGCATGATGTGACTGTGATTTTGACTCTTCGTTTTTTTCAATTATAAATCTAATTATTTACTCCAATAATTTTAAGTGATGGGCAAATGGATGGTGGGTGGTCCTTTTACTAAGGGTCTGATTGGCTCATGAAAATGGAGTTGAATTGAAGATTGGAGAGAAAATTCAACTCCAGTTCTGTCGAGTTGAGATAGAATCATTATTCTGTTTGGGACCTTGTATAATAGTGTTAAGAATAATAGGGTAGTATGTATAAATTGTTAATAGTTAGAGGGTGTATGTGTAATTCTTATTACTGTAGGTTAACTATAAATCCAAGTGATAAATTAGAGTTAGGTTATGTTTTGTAACCTATCTCTGCTTCTCTCTAATATTGTTAATCCTCTAAACTTAACATGGTATCAGAGCATGAACGATCCTAAATATATTAACACTGTTGTGGTGTGGTCTGTGTTCATCGCCCACTTGCGTCGTTCGTAGTGGTGCGGTTGTGGTGGCTGTGGTGGCAGTCGTTTGTGATGTGTGCTGTGTCGCAGACGGTGGCAGTGGTAGTTGTTGCTTATGGTGTGTGCTGTGTCGCAGACCAGAGGGTCTTGGAACCCTAATTAGCGAAGCCTAGTGTGATTTCGTGGTAGTGGTGTGTGCAGTCGAAGACTAGTGTGCCGTCGAAGACTAGAGTTTCACTGGGAACCCTAATCTCAACGAAGAAGAAGACTCCATTGAGGTTGGGTCAGATCGGGGCAAGCCCATTGACTTAAATTAGTTTAAGTCACATTCCAAGTCCAAGCCCAGTAGTCCAGCAGATTGGTTCGGTTTAGTCCAAGTTCAACCCGGATCAGTGCTTCAGCAAGCCAAACCGGGTCGGTTAAGTGCTCTAGCAAGCCAAACCGGCCCGGTTCAGCGCTCCAGTAAGCTAAACCGACCCGGTTCAGTGCTCCAGCAAGCTAACCCGAACCGGTTCAGTGCTCCAGCCCGGTTCAGCTTTCTAGTCGTTTTTTTTCCTCTATGACAACATTGTAACTCTTCTTGTTTACTATTTACTGCATTATTATGGAACCCAAGCAAGATAATAGGTCCCTTTCTCCATCTTTGTCTTCTCCAACTCTTATCAATGGTCCTATGACCTCTGTCAAACTTAATGGGGCTAATTACACTTTATGGTCTTGATCTGTTCAAGTCTTTTTTCGAGACAAAGGATTTAAGAAATATCTGGTGGGTTCTAAACCCAAGGAAGACACTCCTGGGTATGATCAGTGGGAACAAAATGTTCATATTATCTTTTTATTGTTGAACAACATATAGCCCAGTATTAGCTTTTCTCTGCTCTATCTTGATACTACCAAAGAGATATGGGATCACTTGACCACTATGTATTCTGGTACANGTTCCTCTCTCTCATAATATATAATATAATATAAATATATAATATATTATAATATATACTTATATATATTATATTATATTATAATATATAATATAATAGATTATAATAAAATATAATATATATTAATATATTATAATATAACATATAACATATAATATAATAGATTATAATATATGAATATTATATTATATTATAATATGTATATATGAATATAATATTATATTATAATATATGTATATATATATAATAAAAATAAATTGTCAATATAAAAATAAATTTTTTATATTTTTTTATTAATGTTTGAATTACTGTTCGAATATATATTTAGGCTGTCCAAACAGATTTTACTATTTTCTGCATTGTAAAATTGTTTTTGAAATCATCTAACCAAATAAGTTTTTTATCTCAAAAAATATCAAAACCATTTTCTTAAAACTCTTATCAAAAACTGTTTTCAAATACTAGTTTTTGAAACGCAAACCAAATAGGCTCTTAATTTTTGAAAAAGGTGATTATATTTATGTATGTTTTCCATTTGACATAGAAACTGCCTCTGGTGTTACTTACAAGGAATCTTGTGATTGGAACTCTTGCTCCAAAAGGTGTCTGAATCTGCAATTAAGGTCTGAGCCCTTTGCTTTCAAGATTTCAATAGTTATGTTAAGGTATCATTAAATTTCCTAATTAATTTGAACTTTTACAATCCATTTCCTGACTTCCTTTAGGTTCGAACCATTTAACAATTCTGGATTTTTAAAAATTGATGGACCTGTTTGTGTTTTCCAGAGTGCAGTGGTGATATAAAAGCTAATTTAATTTCTTGATTATTTTTAACTTCTGCAGACTGCAGCTCATTGATGTACTTCCTGTAGCTTCCTATGCCAATTAATTTAATGATTCTGGATTTGTGGAAATTGATGAACTTTTTGTCTTGTGTATACAAAGGATTCTGCTGTACAATTTGTAAGGGTTATGATGCAATTAATAAGATAACTGATGCAATTAATAAGATACAGTTGGTTGACCCCTGGAGTGTTATTCGATCAAAATTTGATTAAAACCTTGTTCTTGCTTATAATGTGTTGATCATCCCTTTTCCCTTTCTCTCTCCTCTTTGTGCTTGTTCTTGAGACCAGCTCACCTCCCCCCTGCCCCTCTCTTTGTTCTAGGTTGTAGTGCTGTAAGGTATGATCGTCAGCCATATCTGCTGAAACATGTTTGTTTGACATTCAAATGGACTGCTAAGTTCAATGAACCAAATATGTGGTACCATTTTGTTGCTATTAAGTTCAATGCCCCAAATACTAAAAGTTTGGCCATGGTCTTCCGTCTTACCGTACACTATTAGCTTATTGATAAAATATAATGAGTGCATTTGCGTTTTTAAATTACAGGGTACCAGATTTTGTTGGAAAACATTTCAGTGACAGGACCTCAATTGGTTTTTGTTTTTGTCCAGTGTGAAGATCCGGGATATACAACTTTTTAGTGATCATCTTGTTGTATATGAGCGGGAAAATGGTCTTCTCAGGGTAATTATATATTGCCTGCCAGCAGTTGGAGAACCCCTTGAAAGGCTTCAAGATGGTCGGGCTGTTGATTTTGTTGATCCAATATATTCAGTGGATCCATCAGAATCACAATTTTCTTCCAGCATTTTACGGTTTTCTTATAGCTCAATGAAGACGCCCACCTCTGTATATGATTATGATATGAACACGGGGATATCGATTCTGAAGAAGATTGAATTGGTAAGCGAGGTTTCTATCATGAGTTCCATTTCACACTGCATGTGATTATACATGTTGATGATTTAACTCATACAGTGTTTCGCTTCGTAATGAGCTTCCTTTTCTACTCTTTGTTGGTGGATTCTTTTCTTACTTATTTGTTTATTCATTCATTAATATGCCTATTGCTAGTATTTTTAAAGTTGTTATTGTTAATGCATACATTTGTTGTCTTATCTTCATTTCCAGAAAGAATATCTTTCTTATAACAAAATATTCTGTTAAGTTCTTGCCTTGGAAGGAATGAAATAAGTGCATGATGTGACTGTGATTTTGACTCTTCGTTTTTTTCAATTATAAATCTAATTATTTACTCCAATAATTTTAAGTGATGGGCAAATGGATGGTGGGTGGTCCTTTTACTAAGGGTCTGATTGGCTCATGAAAATGGAGTTGAATTGAAGATTGGAGAGAAAATTCAACTCCAGTTCTGTCGAGTTGAGATAGAATCATTATTCTGTTTGGGACCTTGTATAATAGTGTTAAGAATAATAGGGTAGTATGTATAAATTGTTAATAGTTAGAGGGTGTATGTGTAATTCTTATTACTGTAGGTTAACTATAAATCCAAGTGATAAATTAGAGTTAGGTTATGTTTTGTAACCTATCTCTGCTTCTCTCTAATATTGTTAATCCTCTAAACTTAACATGGTATCAGAGCATGAACGATCCTAAATATATTAACACTGTTGTGGTGTGGTCTGTGTTCATCGCCCATTTGCGTCGTTCGTAGTGGAGCGGTTGTGGTGGCTGTGGTGGCAGTCGTTTGTGATGTGTGCTGTGTCGCAGACGGTGGCAGTGGTAGTTGTTGCTTATAGTGTGTGCTGTGTCGCAGACCAGAGGGTCTTGGAACCCTAATTAGCGAAGCCCAGTGTGATTTCGTGGTAGTGGTGTGTGCAGTCGAAGACTAGTGTGCCGTCGAAGACNAATAGATTATAATAAAATATAATATATATTAATATATTATAATATAATATATATTATAATATAATATATAACATATAATATAATAGATTATAATATATGAATATTATATTATATTATAATATGTATATATGAATATAATATTATATTATAATATGTATATATATATAATAAAAATAAATTGTCAATATAAAAATAAATTTTTTATATTTTTTTATTAATGTTTGAATTACTGTTCGAATATATATTTAGGCTGTCCAAACAGATTTTACTATTTTCTGCATTGTAAAATTGTTTTTGAAATCATCTAACCAAATAAGTTTTTTATCTCAAAAAATATCAAAACTATTTTCTTAAAACTCTTATCAAAAACTGTTTTCAAATACTAGTTTTTGAAACGCAAACCAAATAGGCTCTTAATTTTTGAAAAAGGTGATTATATTTATGTATGTTTTCCATTTGACATAGAAACTGCCTCTGGTGTTACTTACAAGGAATCTTGTGATTGGAACTCTTGCTCCAAAAGGTGTCTGAATCTGCAATTAAGGTCTGAGCCCTTTGCTTTCAAGATTTCAATAGTTATGTTAAGGTATCATTAAATTTCCTAATTAATTTGAACTTTTACAATCCATTTCCTGACTTCCTTTAGGTTCGAACCATTTAACAATTCTGGATTTTTAAAAATTGATGGACCTGTTTGTGTTTTCCAGAGTGCAGTGGTGATATAAAAGCTAATTTAATTTCTTGATTATTTTTAACTTCTGCAGACTGCAGCTCATTGATGTACTTCCTGTAGCTTCCTATGCCAATTAATTTAATGATTCTGGATTTGTGGAAATTGATGAACTTTTTGTCTTGTGTATACAAAGGATTCTGCTGTACAATTTGTAAGGGTTATGATGCAATTAATAAGATAACTGATGCAATTAATAAGATACAGTTGGTTGACCCCTGGAGTGTTATTCGATCAAAATTTGATTAAAACCTTGTTCTTGCTTATAATGTGTTGATCATCCCTTTTCCCTTTCTCTCTCCTCTTTGTGCTTGTTCTTGAGACCAGCTCACCTCCCCCCTGCCCCTCTCTTTGTTCTAGGTTGTAGTGCTGTAAGGTATGATCGTCAGCCATATCTGCTGAAACATGTTTGTTTGACATTCAAATGGACTGCTAAGTTCAATGAACCAAATATGTGGTACCATTTTGTTGCTATTAAGTTCAATGCCCCAAATACTAAAAGTTTGGCCATGGTCTTCCGTCTTACCGTACACTATTAGCTTATTGATAAAATATAATGAGTGCATTTGCGTTTTTAAATTACAGGGTACCAGATTTTGTTGGAAAACATTTCAGTGACAGGACCTCAATTGGTTTTTGTTTTTGTCCAGTGTGAAGATCCGGGATATACAACTTTTTAGTGATCATCTTGTTGTATATGAGCGGGAAAATGGTCTTCTCAGGGTAATTATATATTGCCTGCCAGCAGTTGGAGAACCCCTTGAAAGGCTTCAAGATGGTCGGGCTGTTGATTTTGTTGATCCAATATATTCAGTGGATCCATCAGAATCACAATTTTCTTCCAGCATTTTACGGTTTTCTTATAGCTCAATGAAGACGCCCACCTCTGTATATGATTATGATATGAACACGGGGATATCGATTCTGAAGAAGATTGAATTGGTAAGCGAGGTTTCTATCATGAGTTCCATTTCACACTGCATGTGATTATACATGTTGATGATTTAACTCATACAGTGTTTCGCTTCGTAATGAGCTTCCTTTTCTACTCTTTGTTGGTGGATTCTTTTCTTACTTATTTGTTTATTCATTCATTAATATGCCTATTGCTAGTATTTTTAAAGTTGTTATTGTTAATGCATACATTTGTTGTCTTATCTTCATTTCCAGAAAGAATATCTTTCTTATAACAAAATATTCTGTTAAGTTCTTGCCTTGGAAGGAATGAAATAAGTGCATGATGTGACTGTGATTTTGACTCTTCGTTTTTTTCAATTATAAATCTAATTATTTACTCCAATAATTTTAAGTGATGGGCAAATGGATGGTGGGTGGTCCTTTTACTAAGGGTCTGATTGGCTCATGAAAATGGAGTTGAATTGAAGATTGGAGAGAAAATTCAACTCCAGTTCTGTCGAGTTGAGATAGAATCATTATTCTGTTTGGGACCTTGTATAATAGTGTTAAGAATAATAGGGTAGTATGTATAAATTGTTAATAGTTAGAGGGTGTATGTGTAATTCTTATTACTGTAGGTTAACTATAAATCCAAGTGATAAATTAGAGTTAGGTTATGTTTTGTAACCTATCTCTGCTTCTCTCTAATATTGTTAATCCTCTAAACTTAACATGGTATCAGAGCATGAACGATCCTAAATATATTAACACTGTTGTGGTGTGGTCTGTGTTCATCGCCCACTTGCGTCGTTCGTAGTGGTGCGGTTGTGGTGGCTGTGGTGGCAGTCGTTTGTGATGTGTGCTGTGTCGCAGACGGTGGCAGTGGTAGTTGTTGCTTATGGTGTGTGCTGTGTCGCAGACCAGAGGGTCTTGGAACCCTAATTAGCGAAGCCCAGTGTGATTTCGTGGTAGTGGTGTGTGCAGTCGAAGACTAGTGTGCCGTCGAAGACTAGAGTTTCACTGGGAACCCTAATCTCAACGAAGAAGAAGACTCCATTGAGGTTGGGTCAGATCGGGGCAAGCCCATTGACTTAAATTAGTTTAAGTCACATTCCAAGTCCAAGCCCAGTAGTCCAGCAGATTGGTTCGGTTTAGTCCAAGTTCAACCCGGATCAGTGCTTCAGCAAGCCAAACCGGGTCGGTTAAGTGCTCTAGCAAGCCAAACCGGCCCGGTTCAGCGCTCCAGTAAGCTAAACCGACCCGGTTCAGTGCTCCAGCAAGCTAACCCGAACCGGTTCAGTGCTCCAGCCCGGTTCAGCTTTCTAGTCGTTTTTTTTCCTCTATGACAACATTGTAACTCTTCTTGTTTACTATTTACTGCATTATTATGGAACCCAAGCAAGATAATAGGTCCCTTTCTCCATCTTTGTCTTCTCCAACTCTTATCAATGGTCCTATGACCTCTGTCAAACTTAATGGGGCTAATTACACTTTATGGTCTTGATCTGTTCAAGTCTTTTTTCGAGACAAAGGATTTAAGAAATATCTGGTGGGTTCTAAACCCAAGGAAGACACTCCTGGGTATGATCAGTGGGAACAAAATGTTCATATTATCTTTTTATTGTTGAACAACATATAGCCCAGTATTAGCTTTTCTCTGCTCTATCTTGATACTACCAAAGAGATATGGGATCACTTGACCACTATGTATTCTGGTACAGGTAATTTTATTGGTGCGTATGAGATGTGTAAGGAGTACTTCTGGTTGGAGCATGGTACTCTGAGCCTTGCGGATTATTACTCTCATGTTCGAGGAGTCTGTGAGGAGATGAAGACTTACCATCCGTTTACTACTGATGCAGCAGTTTGGCAAAAGTAACATGAGGACTTGAATGTTGTTAGATTTTTGGTAGGATTGAAACATGAATATGAGGCTATTCGTTTTCAGATTTTGGGTGGATCTAGTCTTCTATCACTATTGGAAGTTTTCTCTCGTTTACAGCGTGCTACACTGTCTACTCCTTCAGTCATTGATCATGGTGTCTCCACTGATCGCTCAACACTTGTATTTTCTAATAGCCATAGTGATGGTCATCGAGGTGGATGTGGTGGTCGCAGAGGTTGTATGGGTGGTCGTGGAGGTTGTAGTGGATCCCGTTCCTGTACTCACTGTGGCCGTGGAGGACACACTGTTGATTTTTGTTGGGATTTATATGGAAAACCTTCTGGTACTGCTAATCAGGCTTCTTATCAGGATGACACCTCTGNCGAATATATATTTAGGCTGTCCAAACAGATTTTACTATTTTCTGCATTGTAAAATTGTTTTTGAAATCATCTAACCAAATAAGTTTTTTATATCAAAAAATATCAAAACTATTTTCTTAAAACTCTTATCAAAAACTGTTTTCAAATACTAGTTTTTGAAACGCAAACCAAATAGGCTCTTAATTTTTGAAAAAGGTGATTATATTTATGTATGTTTTCCATTTGACATAGAAACTGCCTCTGGTGTTACTTACAAGGAATCTTGTGATTGGAACTCTTGCTCCAAAAGGTGTCTGAATCTGCAATTAAGGTCTGAGCCCTTTGCTTTCAAGATTTCAATAGTTATGTTAAGGTATCATTAAATTTCCTAATTAATTTGAACTTTTACAATCCATTTCCTGACTTCCTTTAGGTTCGAACCATTTAACAATTCTGGATTTTTAAAAATTGATGGACCTGTTTGTGTTTTCCAGAGTGCAGTGGTGATATAAAAGCTAATTTAATTTCTTGATTATTTTTAACTTCTGCAGACTGCAGCTCATTGATGTACTTCCTGTAGCTTCCTATGCCAATTAATTTAATGATTCTGGATTTGTGGAAATTGATGAACTTTTTGTCTTGTGTATACAAAGGATTCTGCTGTACAATTTGTAAGGGTTATGATGCAATTAATAAGATAACTGATGCAATTAATAAGATACAGTTGGTTGACCCCTGGAGTGTTATTCGATCAAAATTTGATTAAAACCTTGTTCTTGCTTATAATGTGTTGATCATCCCTTTTCCCTTTCTCTCTCCTCTTTGTGCTTGTTCTTGAGACCAGCTCACCTCCCCCCTGCCCCTCTCTTTGTTCTAGGTTGTAGTGCTGTAAGGTATGATCGTCAGCCATATCTGCTGAAACATGTTTGTTTGACATTCAAATGGACTGCTAAGTTCAATGAACCAAATATGTGGTACCATTTTGTTGCTATTAAGTTCAATGCCCCAAATACTAAAAGTTTGGCCATGGTCTTCCGTCTTACCGTACACTATTAGCTTATTGATAAAATATAATGAGTGCATTTGCGTTTTTAAATTACAGGGTACCAGATTTTGTTGGAAAACATTTCAGTGACAGGACCTCAATTGGTTTTTGTTTTTGTCCAGTGTGAAGATCCGGGATATACAACTTTTTAGTGATCATCTTGTTGTATATGAGCGGGAAAATGGTCTTCTCAGGGTAATTATATATTGCCTGCCAGCAGTTGGAGAACCCCTTGAAAGGCTTCAAGATGGTCGGGCTGTTGATTTTGTTGATCCAATATATTCAGTGGATCCATCAGAATCACAATTTTCTTCCAGCATTTTACGGTTTTCTTATAGCTCAATGAAGACGCCCACCTCTGTATATGATTATGATATGAACACGGGGATATCGATTCTGAAGAAGATTGAATTGGTAAGCGAGGTTTCTATCATGAGTTCCATTTCACACTGCATGTGATTATACATGTTGATGATTTAACTCATACAGTGTTTCGCTTCGTAATGAGCTTCCTTTTCTACTCTTTGTTGGTGGATTCTTTTCTTACTTATTTGTTTATTCATTCATTAATATGCCTATTGCTAGTATTTTTAAAGTTGTTATTGTTAATGCATACATTTGTTGTCTTATCTTCATTTCCAGAAAGAATATCTTTCTTATAACAAAATATTCTGTTAAGTTCTTGCCTTGGAAGGAATGAAATAAGTGCATGATGTGACTGTGATTTTGACTCTTCGTTTTTTTCAATTATAAATCTAATTATTTACTCCAATAATTTTAAGTGATGGGCAAATGGATGGTGGGTGGTCCTTTTACTAAGGGTCTGATTGGCTCATGAAAATGGAGTTGAATTGAAGATTGGAGAGAAAATTCAACTCCAGTTCTGTCGAGTTGAGATAGAATCATTATTCTGTTTGGGACCTTGTATAATAGTGTTAAGAATAATAGGGTAGTATGTATAAATTGTTAATAGTTAGAGGGTGTATGTGTAATTCTTATTACTGTAGGTTAACTATAAATCCAAGTGATAAATTAGAGTTAGGTTATGTTTTGTAACCTATCTCTGCTTCTCTCTAATATTGTTAATCCTCTAAACTTAACATGGTATCAGAGCATGAACGATCCTAAATATATTAACACTGTTGTGGTGTGGTCTGTGTTCATCGCCCATTTGCGTCGTTCGTAGTGGTGCGGTTGTGGTGGCTGTGGTGGCAGTCGTTTGTGATGTGTGCTGTGTCGCAGACGGTGGCAGTGGTAGTTGTTGCTTATGGTGTGTGCTGTGTCGCAGACCAGAGGGTCTTGGAACCCTAATTAGCGAAGCCTAGTGTGATTTCGTGGTAGTGGTGTGTGCAGTCGAAGACTAGTGTGCCGTCGAAGACTAGAGTTTCACTGGGAACCCTAATCTCAACGAAGAAGAAGACTCCATTGAGGTTGGGTCAGATCGGGGCAAGCCCATTGACTTAAATTAGTTTAAGTCACATTCCAAGTCCAAGCCCAGTAGTCCAGCAGATTGGTTCGGTTTAGTCCAAGTTCAACCCGGATCAGTGCTTCAGCAAGCCAAACCGGGTCGGTTAAGTGCTCTAGCAAGCCAAACCGGCCCGGTTCAGCGCTCCAGTAAGCTAAACCGACCCGGTTCAGTGCTCCAGCAAGCTAACCCGAACCGGTTCAGTGCTCCAGCCCGGTTCAGCTTTCTAGTCGTTTTTTTTCCTCTATGACAACATTGTAACTCTTCTTGTTTACTATTTACTGCATTATTATGGAACCCAAGCAAGATAATAGGTCCCTTTCTCCATCTTTGTCTTCTCCAACTCTTATCAATGGTCCTATGACCTCTGTCAAACTTAATGGGGCTAATTACACTTTATGGTCTTGATCTGTTCAAGTCTTTTTTCGAGACAAAGGATTTAAGAAATATCTGGTGGGTTCTAAACCCAAGGAAGACACTCCTGGGTATGATCAGTGGGAACAAAATGTTCATATTATCTTTTTATTGTTGAACAACATATAGCCCAGTATTAGCTTTTCTCTGCTCTATCTTGATACTACCAAAGAGATATGGGATCACTTGACCACTATGTATTCTGGTACAGGTAATTTTATTGGTGCGTATGAGATGTGTAAGGAGTACTTCTGGTTGGAGCATGGTACTCTGAGCCTTGCGGATTATTACTCTCATGTTCGAGGAGTCTGTGAGGAGATGAAGACTTACCATCCGTTTACTACTGATGCAGCAGTTTGGCAAAAGTAACATGAGGACTTGAATGTTGTTAGATTTTTGGTAGGATTGAAACATGAATATGAGGCTATTCGTTTTCAGATTTTGGGTGGATCTAGTCTTCTATCACTATTGGAAGTTTTCTCTCGTTTACAGCGTGCTACACTGTCTACTCCTTCAGTCATTGATCATGGTGTCTCCACTGATCGCTCAACACTTGTATTTTCTAATAGCCATAGTGATGGTCATCGAGGTGGATGTGGTGGTCGCAGAGGTTGTATGGGTGGTCGTGGAGGTTGTAGTGGATCCCGTTCCTGTACTCACTGTGGCCGTGGAGGACACACTGTTGATTTTTGTTGGGATTTATATGGAAAACCTTCTGGTACTGCTAATCAGGCTTCTTATCAGGATGACACCTCTGTTGTTGCTTCTATACCTTGGTCAGCTCTACCATACACTGGGTCGGTTACTATTACATTGGGTCGAGAGGAGTATGCTCCGTTTTTGTCTCAGCAACAGGCTGTCCCATCTCCTTCCATTGCTACTTTTGCCTAGTCAGGTACTGATTCCACCTGTTTATTGTCCTCCATTTACAGTCTTTGGATCATAGACTCTGGCGCCTCGGATCACATAACTGATGCGTCTGATGTTTTCTCTACTTATCAGTCTGTTAGTTTCACACGTAGTGTTACTCTTGTTAACGGTACTTGTTCTAAAGTTTCAGGTCTGGGGACTACTCACTTGAGTCCTGATATGTCCCTATCTTCCGTGTTATTTGTTCTTCAGTTTCCTTTTACTTTACTTTCCATTAGCAAGATTACCCGTTCTCTCAATTGTTCAGTAACTTTTTATCCCTCTTATTGTGTCTTTTAGGATCTCAAGACGAAGTGGAAGATTGGTACGGGGTATGAAGCTAGTGGCCTATATTACCTGGACTTTGATTCACCTATCCGAGCTCTACAGACCTCGTTGTCTCCTCTTCAATGACATTCTCGTCTTGGACATCCCTCTTTCCAGAATCTGAAGTGCCAAGTTCTCAGTCTTATTTATGTGTCGTCTTTGTCTTGTGAAGCTTGTCAATTTAGTAAGCATCACTGTGTGTCATTTCAATCTAGAGTCAATAATCGTGTGTCTAGTGCATTTGAATTAGTCCATTATGATGTATGAGGTCCAATAAAGAATACTTCATATAATAAATATCTTTATTTTGTGACATTTGTGGATAACTATTCTCGTGTGACTTGGTTATTTTTTATGAAAGCTCAATCTAACTTATTCTCTATATTTGAGACTTTTCATAAAGAAATAAAAACTCAGTTTGGTTGTCGTATACGTACTTTACGTTTCGATAATGCTCGGGAATATGAATCTGATCATTTTTCAGCTTCTCGTAGTAAAACTGACATTATTCATCAGACTTCTTGTGCTTACACCTCTCCACAAAATGGTGTTGCTGAACGCAAGAACTGTCATTTATTGGAAGTTACCCGTGCCCTATTATTCCATATGAATGTTCCTTGATATTATTGGAGTGATTCTATTTTTTCTGGTTGTCATCTTATTAATCGTATGCCCTCCTCTATGTTAAATGGGCAAAGTCCATACTCTGTCTTTTTTCCTGGTAAGTCCTTATTTTCCCCGACTCCTAAGGTTTTTGGTTGTGTTTGTTATGTTCTTAATTTGGGTCCTGGATTTGACAAACTTGACACTCGAGCTACAAAATGTGTATTTCTTGGTTACTCCCGCACGCAGAAGGGGTATCGTTGTTACAGTCCTTCTCTACACTGATACTTTACTAGTACAGATGTCACATTTGAAGAATCTGTTCCCTACTTTCCAACACTTTCTCAGCTTTTGGATCTGGTAACATTAGGTAATTCAGATTCTTTACCTATTGCTCTTTTTAAAGGTACTCGTTCGTGTGTTACTAATCATTCTATTTCTCATTTTGTTTCTTATGATGCCTTGTCTCCTGTCTTCTCCTGTTTTACTTCTCAATTATCTGCTATATCTATTCCTAAGCATTTAAAGGATGCATTATTTGATCCGGGTTGGAGGAAAGCTATGGAGGAGGAGATGGATGCTTTACATTATAATGGGACTTGGAATCTTGTTCCTTTACCCTCTGGTAAACGAATTATTGGCTGTCGTTGGGTGTATACTATTACATTCCATCCAGATGGTTCTGTGGAGCGTCTCAAAGTCTGACTTGTTACAAAGAGCTTTACTCAGACTTATGGTGTTGATTATGAGGAGACTTTTTCTCCTGTTGCCAAAATTTCCTCTGTTCGTATCTTGATTTTATTTGCTGCTAATATTGATTGGCCCTTGTTTTAATTAGATGTCAAGAATGCTTTTTTACATGGTGATTTGATTGAAGAGGTCTACATGGAGTAGCCACCTGGGTTTACTACTCCGGAGAATATGGTAAGAGTGTATGTCGGTTAAAAAAATCTTTGTATGGTTTAAAGCAGTCATCGAGGGCATGGTTTGATAAGTTTTCAGATGCAATTTTAGAGTTTGGTCTTCTTCGATATCAGACAGATCATTCTGTGTTTCATAGGCAGACAGATGCTGGGTATGTCCTATTAGTGGTCTATGTAGATAATATTGTAATTACTGGAAATGATTTTGAGGATATTGCCAAATTAAAAATATTCTTACAAGATCGATTTCATACTAAGGATTTGGGAAAACTTAGGTATTTTTTGGGTATTGAGGTGGTTCGATCTAAACAGGGTATTTTTTTATCTCAGAGGAAATATATACTTGATATGCTTGAGGAAGGAAGCAGGTTTGCGGGGTGGTAGACTGATTTATGTTCCTATGGATCCGAATAAGAAATTATTGATGGATGATGGTGTATTGTTTGAGAATTCGGGTCGGTATCGAAGATTGGTTGGGAAGCTTAATTATCTTACTATTACTTGACTGGATATTTCCTATGCAGTTAGTATAGTAAGTCAGTTCATGGGATATCCTAGAGTATCACATTGGGAGGCAGTTACTCGTATTCTGCGATATCTCAAACGAGCTCTTAGACTTGGACTGTTATATCGAGCTAATGGACATCTTAGAGTAGAAGGTTTCTCAGATGCTGATTGGGCTGGCTCTCCTTCTGATCGGAGATCAACCATTGATTATTGTACTTTCTTAGGAGGTAATGTTGTCTTATGAAAAAGTAAGAAACAACCCGTGATAGCAAGATCTAGTGCTGAGGTTGAGTATAAGGCAATGACACATA